AAATCATTAAACGAATAAAATATACGATACACGAAGTGGTTGAGAATGTGTAAAATAAATGGTAAAAGGATCGAATATGAAATATTTATTGGTGTATAAAAATGATTTAAGAATTTATCAAGGTGATACGTTCTTAAAAAGAACATCAAGATTTAATCTGCAATTTTTAAGCATTCTAAATTGAAATAATCTGATATTATAATTTAAATCAATACCAGTCTTTCCATAAATTTATATTTCAATTTATGTCAATATTTTAAATTTAATTTTCAAGCGTCGTAAATAATCTAATATATATATGTACTTTTTAAATATAAAATCTCATCGATAAATTGTAATTTTCTCAATCAAACAGAGCTATAATTTCAGCTTTAAGCCAATATTCAATTTTCAAATACAATTCTAAAACGTATCACGATGATACTAATTTAATCCATATCCAAAAATTTTCTCACAAATTTCTCTCCCTTTTCAAATAAAAATTTAAACTATATAGAAATTAATTATCGATGATAATGTCGATTTCTAAATAAAATTCAAAAAACTTTCAATTTTAATTATACCACATACATATTATATAAATGTCACATTACTTCGAAACGTAACAAACGAAATATATTCTCGATAAAATATGAACTACATACATAACGAACATAATTCATATCGACACGTTCAAAATGTTTTAACTTAACATTTAAGATATAAATTAATTATCTCTACTTTAATCATGTTCATATTCTTTAAAACGTATACCTAATTACAACATTGATCGAAACATTGTAGAGAAATCATTCGAAAATTATGGAGCATAAACATTTATGAATTAACGAAGAGATGGTGAGATATCGATAATGTAATTGATATTGTAATTGTTTCGTGTATCGGGAGTGCGACCTCGAGCTGGAAAGTGCGGATTCTGGAAAAGAAACGGGGACGTAACGTAATTAAATGGAGGAAGAAGGGATAAAAGTGGAAGAGGAGGAGAGGGAAAAATTGATATGTCCATCAAAACGAAGGTCGCCCTTGGAATAAACAATCCTATGTGATTGAAACGAAACCTTTCTTGACGTGGTTTACCAAAGTGAAGAAAAAAAGAAGAGGAATGCGGGGGGGGAGGGGGAGAGGAGGGATCGCGAATAAAAGGAAGATTTTGATTCTGTACACGACTGTCGAGGGACTCATAGGCTATTTTCCTCTCGGAGACATTGTGCAATTTGCATTTGCATACGCAATGAGAGAAGTATTTAGCGAGAATTGTGTAAAAATTGGAAGAGTTCGATGAAATTTAGAAAATTTGAATTCAATTTTGATAAATTTCGAATAAAATAATAAATACAAAGTAAGAGATGTATATTCTTGCATGAAAGTTGCTTAAAATTGGCGTAACAAATTTTTCTTTAAAAAAGACTTCATCTTATATTACGAAAAAAAAAAAAAGGGGGTAAAAAGTATATAGAGACACGAGACAAATGAAATCAACCAAAAGAACCAAAGAATCCGTTGTGTTAAAAAAAAGTGATTGCGCGATTCGCGTGAAATTCATCGTCAAACAGTCCCACTTTGCACAACAGAAGGTTTTCTTTCGTCACGCACGTATGCTCTCGATCACGCATATAGATCCTTTTTTCTTTTTTTTTAATTCCATTTTTCTTCTCAAATTGTCAATTGTTACAAGATTGTTTCAAGTTTCTTTTATTTCGTTCATTTTTTATTTAAGCCTCGTAAGAAAAATCTTGTATCTACAACTCGATCCAATATTCTTTGAAAATAATTTTAAATAATTACTCCTACATTCTCAAAATCAACACCAAACAATAGCAAACGTTTCAAATTATTCGATGAAAATTAATATTCCAACTGCTGAATAAAAATCCAAAATTATTCCTCCACAACGTTCACCTGTTCACCTGTTACAAAAAATAGACACAGAATCCTCACGTTCCAAGATTACCGTAAATTTCGTATCTTCATTATCCATTTAACTTCTACAGAAATTACAATACACTGTTCAAAACGAAAATCCAAAAGAAGAAAGAAATGAAATTAATATTCCAACGAGAGATTAAAATCTAAGAAATATTCCAACCTTCGCCA